GTTTGACGTCTCCGCCCCTGCAGATGGCGCGCCGGTCAGACCGGCACCACCTGAACCACGTTGGGCGCTCAAGCGCTTAGATCGCGACCTCCTCCTGGAAGCCGCCATCGTACAGGCCTGGGCTCCTGCGCCGGACAGGCCTGTCGACGTCGATGCTGAGGCACAGTGGTTCCGGGAGGCCATGACCCGCGTCTGCGATGCGGCGATGCCTAGGGCTCAGCCCAATACTGCAAGGCGCCAGGTCTACTGGTGGTCGCCGGAGATCGCACGGCTGCGTCAAGCCTGCGTGACCGCGCGCCGCCAGTGGTCCAGGTTCCGCAGGAGGCGTCGCCGCCCCGAAGATGCGGCAGCGAGAGAGGCGGAGCTGTTAGCGGGTTACAGGGTTGCCAAGAGGACCCTTCAGGCAGCGATAAAGCGGGCCAAGAGCGAGGCCCGCCGCGAGATGCTGGAGACACTGGAGCGGGATCCGTGGGGACGCCCCTACCGTATGGTTAGGGGCAAGATGCGCCCATGGGCCCCGCCGCTCACACGGTGTCTTCAGCCAGAGCTGCTTGAGAGGGTCGTTGGCTCCCTGTTCCCAACGCGAGTGGTGGAGCATACTCCGCCACAGATGGCTCCGCCTCCGGCGCTTGAGGCGCCTAACGTGGATGACGACGACGTGCCTGAGGTCACTGGGGTGGAACTAAGGGTGGCGGTGTTACGGCTTAAAGCCAAAAACACCGCCCCGGGACCCGATGGCATTCCTGGCCGAGCGTGGGTCCTGGCCTTAGTCGACGAGGCTCTCGAGCCCCGACTGCGAGGGTTCTTCAGCGCATGCCTCGAGCGGGGCCAGTTTCCGAAATTGTGGAGGACGGGGAAACTGGTCCTCATCCGAAAGGAGGGGCGCCCGGCGGACTCACCGTCCGCCTACCGGCCCATAGTGTTGCTTGACGAGGTGTGCAAGCTCTTTGAAAGAGTGATTGCAAGGCGCCTCGTCAAGCATCTCGTGATGGTTGGGCCGGATCTGGCGGACAACCAGTACGGTTTCCGTCAGGGGCGCTCCACCGTGGATGCGATCATGCGCGTGAAGGCTCTGGCGGAGGAAGCAGTCTCCCGGGGTGAAGTGGTGTTGGCGGTGTCCTTGGACATCGCCAACGCGTTCAACACTATGCCCTGGAGCTGCATCAGGGAGGCGCTCGTGTATCACGAAGTGCCTCTCTACCTCCGCCGCATAGTCGGGGCATATTTGTCGGAGAGAGCCGTCGTCTACCCCAGTAGGACCGGTCTCGGTAGGCGTGAAATGTCGTGCGGTGTTCCGCAGGGGTCGGTGTTAGGGCCACTCTTGTGGAACATCGGCTACGACTGGGTGCTTCGTGGTACCTTCTTGGATGGTGTCGCCGTCGTGTGCTACGCGGACGACACACTCGTGACGGCGCGCGGCAAGACGCACCACGAGGCAACCCTGAGGGCCACGGCCGGGGTTGCCCAAGTCGTTGAGCGTATCCGGCGGCTGGGTCTCGAGGTGGCTCTGCACAAGTCCGAGGCCCTGTTCTTCCACGGGCTTCGGAGGAAGCCGCCTGAGGGATCTAGCCTCACGGTAGGAGGCACTCGCATCGGCATCGAGCCCTCGATCAGGTATCTGGGGCTCGTACTCGATGGCCGATGGGACTTCGGATATCATTTCCGAGGTCTGGTCCCCAAGTTGGTCGGGGCAGCGCGTGCGTTGGCGCGGCTGCTGCCCAACATGAAGGGACCCGATGACTCCTGCCGGAGACTCTACTCGGGGGTTGTGCGGTCCATGGCCCTTTACGGGTGCCCAGTATGGGCGGGGGCCCTGAAGGCCAGCAACGTCGCGATACTGCGGCGACCGCAGCGAATGCTGGCCATCAGGATCATAAGGGGGTACCGCACGATCTCCTTCGAGGCGGCGAGTCTCCTGGCCGGAACTCCACCGTGGGACCTGGAGGCGAGAGCCCTTGCAGCACTGTATCAGTGGCGCAAGGAGGCGCAGGAGTTGGGTCGATACCCCGAGATTCGAGAAATCGATGACCGGAAATCCCAACTCCGCCAGGTCACCATAGGGGAGTGGAGGGAACGACTCGGGCAACCGAGCGCCGGGCACGCCGTCATTGCGGCGGTAAGACCCGTTATGGAGGATTGGCTCGAGAGGCGTCACGGGACCCTCTCATACCGATTGACGCAGGTGATCACTGGGAAGGGATGTTTCGGAGATCACCTGTGTCTGATCCGCAAGGAGCCAACGCCTGAGTGCCACCACTGCGATGGCCAGACCGTGGACACGGCTCTCCACACGCTGGCAGAGTGCCCGGCGTGGGTTGAGCAGAGGCGAGACCTCGTGGCGGCCATCGGAGTGGGAGTTCTCTCGCTCGATAGCCTGATTGCGGCTATCGTGCGGAGCGAGAGTGCGTGGAACTCTGCCGTCTCCTTCTGCGAGCAAGTTATGCTCGCGAAGGAGACGGCGGAGCGGGACCGGGAGAGGTTTAGAACTCTCCCGGCCCGCCAGGCCCGGGCACGGGCCAGGCAGCGCAGGCGACTCAGGCGCCGGAGGTCGCAGAACGACCTCCGTCCTCCATAAGCGCAGGCCTGGGGGTGACAGGTGAGGCCATCTGTCACCCTAGCAGAAGCAGGCCGGGGTGGCGGCGAGCGCGTTGCGAAGCGCGCTCGCTTCCAGGGAGCACAGGGAACATGGGGTTCCCACACGGGGCGGGGGTCGTCTACTCGTCTGTAGATGACCCGAGGTATGTCGGGGCACCAGGGCCTTCCTTTCTAGGGTATACCTGGTTCCCCGGCAATTAGTACCCGGCGAAGGCGTGCGGTTTTAGTCGGTTCGTGTCCGACATGCCACCGACAGGTGGTATCCGAGGGGATTTCCGCACGGAAAAAAAAAAAAAAAAAAAAAAAAAAAAAGGCATACAAATCCATCCATAATAAAAGGAAGAAAGAGAAAACCAGTTAAGATGAATTCAATTTAAGTTAAGTAGAGTTTTCGTGCTTGATAACCACACTTAAAATAGCCTATGATAATTTACTACATATGAAATACAAAGAAACTTAAAAAGAAAACGTTTTACAGACTTCAAAAACAGGAACAAATGGTATTAAAATATGAAAAATAAATATAAACAAACCTAATTCAAAACACTTAAATTAGTGTGACACTTAATATAATAAGTAACATTATAAAGGCCCTAATTACCCTTTGGTCCGTCTAAGCATATAAAAAATATTCATAACGATAATTGCTCGGTGACGCAATTAGTTCTTGACTTGTAACCCGGTGTGCCTTAACCGAGTAAAGTGCTTGATACTTGGTAAATTAAAAGTTTCATTTAACTTTTAATTTTCCAAGTATCAAGCACTTTACGCATCACAATTTTCTTACTTGGAAAACTTGTAACTAGTTTTCATTTTGTTACGGGTTCTTTTTCAACTATGTATGTGCAAGTTTCTTGATTACTTTTGTTTATTTAAAGTTTTCAACTTTATAAGCGGCACTTGAACTATGTAATGTTATGTACAGTATGACTCGTAAGTTATACGAGTTATCCTTATTTATTACTTGACTGCACCGGGGTTATATTTTTCGAGTTATATATACTCGTAAGGATATTTATTTAGCACGCTCTGTGTCCTTTGGCGTTTGAGGTGTCGTCGTTAGATTCAAATTATTGTTAATGCGGAAATTATCGAAATTAAAATCGCCAGTTTGTAAAAAAACATAGCAGGCATGTACTTTTGTACCGCCTTGCGTAAGCCATGGTAGGGATTATTGATCTTTGAATAGATCTTTGATAGAGCTTTGCGTTCAAAAGTTTTTTCAGCTTGAAGTTTGCATATAGGCCGGACTGAAGTCGATAGCAATGACAGCTAGCTGTCGCAAATGAGTTGTCATTGCAGTCAATAAGTATAGAAGATATATTTCAAAATCATTTGTTTACAACTTTCCTAATCTGTCAATAAAATTATGCCCTGTCAAATAAGTTTAATTACTATTTTACATAATGTTCACGGTTAATCAAATTGATTTGAACAAAATTCATTTGTACCTTTCCTTAAATTAATTGATTTAAAATAACAATTTCTTTATTACTTCGTCTAATAATTGTTAATAAAGAAATGTTTGTTTTTAACTGCTAAATACACATTAATCTAAATGTAAAAATATCGTTTTTTATGTAATTTGTATTTTATGCAACGTGTGAATGCGTTTTGTTGACAACACGAACGTTTAGTTATTGCAGTTGTAACTATTCTTTGAGAAGAATTTATTTATTTCAAGCATAGTTCTCAAATTTATCGATATTAAGACTCACTTTATAAACGGTACAAATCACATAACCATCCATTATAATTACTAGGTGTACAGAATCTGCTGTCCATTTAAATATACATTTTTAAATAGTCTTGCTTTTGTTTTTTTTTTAATAATTGGCTTGTTAACAATGTGTTTCTCCCGAAATAGGCTAAAATATAGGGCAATTGTAAGTCTGATTTGCGCCGTTAGAAGATATTATCGTTTTGTACAAAAGCTTGCAAAATGATTGGTCAAGGGCGGAGCTTGGTCAATTCGTCATTATTTTCTTAATGCGAATGGACCTATATACCTTTTTTATAGTATATAGATAGATAGTACCTTTTTTTTTGGTGACAGGATGGGAAATCCCTTCGGATCTCCGTCTTCCTATATAGAAGCCGGGGATATAGGAGCCAGGAGTATGTGGTGTTTCTACTAAAAATCACCCCGACGGCCAGACATAGGTGCACTGCTCTAGAAAGATCCCGGGCCATGTGATGTCAGGTCCCCCCCAGATCGAGACCGCACCTAACTAGGCCCTATCTCAGGGAAAGCCAGTGGCCTCCCTAGACTATATACTCCCTAGACTATATATCAGACAATTAGATATATATCTATATATACAAATATCTAATTGGGTCAATCATGATTATTCCCATTTAATCACTTCACTATTTTGCCCAATATGGTATGTATTTATTGATCAATGACAGAGTATTTAATATCATATTTCAGGAGCTTGGACAACGAAGAAGTTTTTAAACGAATGAAAATTTATGAAGATATCAACGCTGTTTTATTACTGTACGTGACGAGGCTCGTGAAAAAAACTACATCCCCATTGTGGCAGTAAGTCTATAGACTAAGTTACATTATTTATAACCTGTCCATTTTAACTTAATTATTGGTTTATTTTTTTATTATTTATTTGTTATTACAATTCATTATGTTACATCATGATGTTGCGCATTGATGTAAGTACTTTTTAAGTAACTTATTTTGATAGTTGCTTGAAAACGTTATTTTACCAGCGTTGGTTAAAGTAAACTTTAAAAAAAAACTATAAATCACATAACTATTTGAACAAAACTTATTTTTATTCTAAATTTAAAATTATATGTCATGTGAAAAATAAAACATATTTTAATTGAGTAAGAAAAAACCAATAAGGGACCAAAAATTGATAACCGCGTAGAGCCACTCAAAGACTTAATATTAGTCTGTTTACTGACTAGATTATAGGTGTTACGGACTACATAGACATTCAAAAATAAGTATAATAAAGGACTAAAAGATAAATATAATAAGGATAAAATGGAAAACGTCGAAAATACTGACTGACACAGTTTGTAGTCGAACCATTGTGTAACTTAAATCGTTACTTTAGTTTCACAAGAGTTCGACTGCTACAGAACTCCAACTCCAGAACAAGGAAAGCCTTTGTACTTTAATGAGATGTATTCGGGTAAATACGATATAACGAAAGAGAACGTCAAATTCCAATCTGTGTTACTGTGTACTGTCAAATGCTCAAGCATTGGAAAGCTGACAAGTGCGCTTGTATAGTAAAATGGGCGATAGGTTTAGTATTGAATTTATATCAAATTATATGCGTATAAAATATACATAACATGAGATTTAAATTTTAATAATTCATATGTTTTTTATTTATACACTTTCTTTATACGAGTATATTGCATAAGTCGAACTCGATGTCGGTCGGCGGTGAATAATTTACTTCATAATAAGGATAGAATAATGTATAACATAAATACAAGCCTACATATATGCATCATGAATACATATATTAATAATAAAGTAATCAGTAAAATATTTAATTATTCTCATGTTTCTGACTTTTGAAGGTATAGGAATTAGTCAGTTAGATATGTATTGCGAGTTTTAAGAAGGTAAAGGCAGCTCGTGTGAACATTTTGAGGTATGATAAAATGAAAAGGTAATTTTACCAAAATGAAGAAAAGAAGAAACCAAAATCAGCTTTTTCATTTAAAAGCTATGACGGCAAACATACAGATACACACGTTAAAAATACAACAAAAGGGAGGCATTTGTGTTTACTTTTTTTTTTTTAAAGACAACTCCCACAGTAGGACTACATTCATGCGTCGCGAGGGACTTTATAAACATACATGAAACGGACACAAAGAACACCCAGACTCAGAACAACAATTTGTGGATCACACGTCCTACGGGTTTGAACCCACAACACTCGGCGCAGTAGGAAGCGAAGTGTTAACAGTAAAAAATTGAAGGAACATTTTAATAGACACATTATATGTACAATAAATTTGTTCTTACATAATATTGACTATAATAGTAGACTAGTCGTCTACTTATTTCGTAGACAATTCTCAGTATTTTCCAATACTTTGATATTAACGACAGGCATTGTGCAACTTCAAATAAAATCACAACAACCGGTAAACATGATAAAATTTTAATCCAATTAGCGAATGTCGTTTACCGCAGGAGTTGTCTCGAATGTTAACAACGTTATGTTTCTAAATACACCCATATTGACATTTAATTACTGTTCTATTTCGGTATATGTAAAGAAGAAACTTAAAGTAATTATTGGTAATTTTCAAGTACATTTCATTTCATTCAGAAATGGTTTGAGGTTTTTCTTTTATGGCCATTCTTATATAGTTATTAGTTATTATATAGTTATTCTTATATTGCATTCAATATCACATTTCAAATTGTTTACATATTTAATATTGTAAATTTATAAATATTTATATATTTTATCTCTAAAATACGTAAGTACATCCATCCAGACCGTATTCGGTCATGCCGACTTAGCACTGGTTAATGAGAGCTTCGTTGATGTGCTCTCAGGTGACTGACATGACCGATTTTTGGCGTGAACGTGCGTCCACATTCACTGCAAGTCAGCAACCCTCCGATAAAATTATAATGTATGGCCGCTGGTGGTCGGGCCTTGAACTCATCCCGCTTGGCATCGAGCTCTTCTTTCCGTCGTCTTTCGAACTCGAACACGTACACAGTACGCCTCCACAGCGCTCCCACTGCGACGGGTCAAGGTGGCAGCGCTCCATGTGACGCTTCAGCACATCTTTGTAGCGTAGGAATTGGTCGCTTTGATTGCGTTTGCCATCTTATAGTTCTGAGCAGAGAATGACAGGACGATTGTAGAGTTTATGAAGGATCTTGCAGCTACTGCAGTTTGGTCCCGTTTTATCATCTGAAGCTTGTGATATCCCTTGCCTCCCTGGCCCTATTTCCCTTCTATACCCTAATTTGCCTTTTTTCTTTCCTTTAAATAGGGTTAGCGTCAGCCAGCTGGCCGGACGTAATAGTAACTAGGTAAACCCCAAAAACTATATGAAAAAGAAATGATATATTAATAATCATCATAATATACTTTAAGTTAGATCATGAAAATAGTTTGTCAAAATGCTAAGAAGTGTCTCTGATTATTCAATATTTTGTTCCTACATCTGATGTTCTTTAGCTCATCATAATATACTGTGCCGAGTCTAATTTGGTGTGAGATACTTGTATTAATATAATAAAAAAATGCGAGCAAAGTTTTTGGGAAAAGAAATTTATGTTAGAACTTTTTAAAGTATGTACGGGATAACTTCGAAGAATACTCGTATACATTATAACTTCGTAAAACAATGCGTTTATCAATTTTGAAATCTCATTTTAATGGTCAAAACCAAGTTTTTGTTGAAATAATTATCTTTTCTCTAATTTCAATCTAAATTCAAGAAGTTGTAGTTCTTTATCTCATAATTGTCGACGATCAGGGTTGGAGTGTATTATTTAAATTTAGGTAGGACCAACCTCGACAAGAACTAGTTCAATTATAAAAAAGAATTTTGGCATCACAAACGCTAAACATTTCGTTTTCAGAAAAAAACATAGCCTAGGGAGAACGTTTGTTTTTTGGAAACAATAAATGTTTAAACGAATATATTTAAATTGTAATATGTTGAAATTAATGCATTTTATCCATACACTGTTTTTCTATATTTATATGATTTCTATTTTCAATACACGTTTATTAATATTTAGATAATAGCTCTAATGAAATGGATATAACTTGTTTCTTACATTTTCATACCAATTTGAATAGAAATTGCTTCTTCAACAAAAGAAAAGCAATATTCGGTTCCGAAAATATCCATTAAGAATATATAAGTCTATTGAAATCTACCCGCTCTTTAGATTGTCAAATTATCACTGTATATTATTATAGGGATGTTATTTCCTAAGAAAAGATTGTATGCCAGACGAAGACAATAGATTTACGTTGAGAAAATGCCGAGATTTTTTTAAGATTCTGTCCTAAAATTAGATTGTGTTTGGATAAATTGAGGAATATTTACAAAAAGTTTTTAGTATTCCTTCGTCATCTTGATAGTTTTTACAGGTAAAGTTTGTTAGATTTATATTAATTACAGTGGCAGGCTTACCCATAATAAAGTAACCTTACTTTGAACAGAATAAATTAACCTAACAGGCGGGCGGATTCTTGCCTGAAAATTTATTTTTAGGTATAATAATAAAGATAAGAGAGAAAGCAAGACTCTGTTTGATGTGTAACATTTTTTTCTCGTTTTCCTGTAATCTGTGAGTGATTTCGTGAAAATGGACGATGAACCTTTATGTTATTATAAATGATTTAAATATGTTTTTAACAGGCTTATGTCCAGCAGTGGACCATTAAAAGCATTTGATATTATGTCATGTGATTAACAAATTAACATTAAAGTTACTTTAAAAATGTAATTTATTAGGTATACAAATTTAATTTTTACGGTATTTATGTTTTCCCATTGTCTCTATCATGTACCAAAAAAATTTTGTAATCAACATTGCACAATTAATTTGTTTACTTTTTAGAGTATTTAATAATGCACCAACAGTTTTTATGAACATTCATTAACTGGTTGTTGATTCAGAGATCTTAACATTTCTATGCCTTACGGCGCTCCACTGACAACTATAACGGTAGTGAATAATAGCCGGGAAAACTCGTGCTATTTAATCAAACCAATGAGCATTGACAGTACAGTACACTACAGTACAGTACAGACAGACTAGTATTGACAGTCACATGGCAGGCGAAATTTCTGCTGTTATGCAACACATATAATACATATACAACTACTATCAGGCTTATTCGTTTTTCAATTGTTTTTACATTGTTTCTATTGTTACTAGACATTTATCGGCCTCAACGGAACTGCTCAAATCTAGAGAAGACTTCTCCGTATGTCTGGTGCTAGCAGCAATTTCATCAAATATCAACAAAGTGGACCCAAGTACAACATCAAACATCCAAATGCATTTAGAATTTGGTAGAAGCAGTTTAAACTCAACTGCTCAGTATTTAGAGGCAGCAAAAATTATGAGCCAAACCAAAATATTGGAAGAAGTTTCACTCTTGTAAGTATATAGTTAAATAATTTTCATCTGTAATTTAACTGCAGTAAGTTCTATATTCCTTGAGCTTTAGTAATCTGTCACTTTCTTATTAGTTAGGCAGACTTTCTACCTTTAGGATTAACTGCTTTCTGAATTTATTTTGAACTATCAAGGTTCTTAGAGTTCTTAAATATCGTGGTTTTTTTGGTGGTCAACAACATAGGTGAGGAAGTCAGCCTGACTCAATTTTTAATAACAATAAAATTCATCCGACTTTGCCGACTTGTAAAACTATCTGAAAGGATTGACTTGCAGGAATAAGTATAATTTCATTTCAATTCATATCATCATTTCATTTTATTTCATATCATCATCATTGATTCAGATGGAATTGATGATTATAAGTAGAAGTAGGCTACCTAGGACTGGTTATCTCCGGGCTGCTATTATTCAAACACCGTTTATTTTAGGTTGTTCATATATGAGAACAAAGTATAACAGTGTAACATAAAATTATATTTTTTTAGCTTATAAACAATGTTACAAGAAACTTGTAAATATAACTTTTTTTTTTGTTAAAAATGAATTTTCTAGTCTGTCTCATCTCCAAGTGGTTTCCGTACTGAAACAAGGAACTAGCTTCATAATCGACTTAGTCTGACTGGGATGAATTGAGTTTGAATATCCTAATTGGTTTATTGACGACGGGCCTGTTGTTCTAATGGTTTGTGACCCTGACTGCTAAGCTAGAGCTCGTGGATTCGATACCCACAGAACCAATAATTGTGTGATGAGCATCAGATAAGTTTATTAGCGGTCTGGTTAACAAAGTACAGGCTCTGCCTAGTTTGGGATCAGACGGCCGTGTGTGAGATGCGTGAGGTTATTATTTTCATTATTTCTTCATAGAATTTATGTACTGGAACAGACAGCTAGCTTCATGACTAACTTTGACTAACCATTGCTCCTGATAATTCAAAAATACCTATAATTGGTTTAATTAAAATAAATGATTTTGATTTTGACATAATAAGAGACTTACTTTAACGAATGCTAAGTGCTTCTAAAATAACTAGTATATTATTAAAAACATTTGTTTCAGTTTTAAAAATTTACAAGCAGTTTACTTCCAAGAATTCGTGAATCAATCAAACATTGAGCTGAATGCAAACTGGAGTCGACATCTTATCGAGTGGCCGACGTACCTGGATCAGATAAAAAATATTCAGAACAATGTATGGAGATTTGTAGGGTAAGAATACCTTTCAAACATCTAAACTTACCGCATTAATCCATCCTATACGCCTACAATTGTAACTCCTGTACACCAGGATCAACAGACCAACGAACACACCGAGTTGGGAGAAGCTCATGTTCAGCAGTGGACTAGGGTGATTAAATGATTGATTGATAAGTCCCATGACATAGTTGGTACATGGTGAACATAGTTGAAGGCAAGGTTTAATTCGTGTAACAAAACACCTGCTGTAGGGTTTTTTATATGCATGTTTTGCCTTTCCCATGAGTGAACCCAGTGACCCATGAACACACCGTATGACACTCGGGCACCCCATGGAAAAATTAAACTGTCTTGGAACCCGCAACGAAATTAATCGGAAGAAAATTAGAATTGAAAATATAATAAATCCACTTCCCTCCTTAGCAAAGCAAACATCTATTAGCTTTTGGATATCAATGAAGCTTAGAAAGGAAAACACACTTACTCCGATACCTACAAATATTTCCGCTAGTTTGGAGTCTTATCAGAATACTTTATTCTCTGGTTTTCATAAAATTATTAGACTTTACTTTTATTATAGGCCCTATTTGTTTTATATATTACTGTCTTATATCTGTTATAATCACACTATTAACTTATAATAGCATTGTCTAGGCTTGTTTTGCTAGTAAATTTACGTATTTACTGTACCTTTGTAAATTCTTTTAGTAAATAGGTACAATATTTCATTTATAAAAATTCTATTCTCTTTTAGAAACAGTCATTCTATTTTCGTCTACAATATTCATGATTATAATATTTTAATCTTGTTATCAAAGTAGACATAATTAATCTTTTATATATTTTGCAAAACCTTTCTAAATAAACAAACAGTGCCTAAATCAACTTCCTTGCCCTAAAACAATAAGATAAAGTACTAATGCCAAAATTCTAACATTGCCTTTTAACGCGGCACAGACAATATTTTTCTTATTCTTTAAATATTTGCAGAATTTATAAATTATAATATTTTCTTATGCATTTTGTCTTCCTCTCCTATCATGAGACAAAAAAATATGTGTGAAGATCAATGTTAAACAGGCTTCTTATTTTCTGCAGAGAGCGTGCTCACCAGGTCGTGTGGCTGGCACGCCGCACTCTATGCATCGGCGTTGCAATATTGGTCCTCGTGTTCCTAGCAGCTCCGATCATGTTGCTTTTACTACGGCATATAGCTTACACAATACAGGTACGTGGACATACTTTTAACATTAAACATATTGAAATGAACCCTCTGAAAAGGAGGGATTTTTAGGGTTCCATAGTCCTCAGGGGACAAGGAACCTTTATAGTTTTACTATGTTTGTCTATTTGCCAGTCCGCCCGTGGTTTAGTTGAGACTTAAGACATTGCGTCTTAAATTACATCCTTCTCGTCTAAATTACAGCTTTCTAGTACCTTAGTACCAATTTACATACTAATTTTAGAGGAGTTTGTAAATTAATGAGTGTCATAGTGTGGTGAAATAATTTTTAGTATATCTTTGCTACACCTAAGGTGAGGGCGTATTTTTCTCATTTCCCCGAGAGCGTGATTATTATGAGGGCTGAAGATAAATTTAAGTGGGCAAAGGCTATTTTTCCGTTTCATAGTCCCATTTGGAAATGATTAAATTTTAAATACCTATCTTTCAATAAGTTGTTACTTGATCAACACTGGTAGTAACAAACTGCGGAACCCTGCACTGTACGTGTCCCGACACGCACTTGGCCAGTTTTTTATTTGTGTTTTGATTTTTTTTTATGTAGATAGGTTAGATTTTAACTTTTTTAAATAGTAATATTTTTGTGTTTAAAATTAATTCTTTAGATTTTTAAATTAATGCTGAAAATTCTTTACGTAATATTATGCTCAAGGTTGTTTTTGTTATTGTGTGATACTCATTTACATAGTAGGTAACTTGACTAACCGTCGGGATTTCCGTAAGAGTGACGTTATTAGTGTTGATGTTAAATTATTGAATCAGTTATTTGAAAAAACTTCTAAAGTACAAAAATAAGTGAACTACTCGTAATAAAACTCATAAATGCAGAAACAAGAAATATTTGTATGAGTACATACAGGAATTCTATAGTCTATTTGAAGGTGATATATTAATATTGCTTTTTAATTTAATTTTATATTCAAACATTTGCGATATCTTTTAAATATAGTAAAGTATTGAATTCGTAAAACTAATCATAATAAAGCATTTTTTTAATACTTGTTCTGCAGTTACCATTATAAAACTTCTTAAAGAAAACATACGTAGGTATGTTCATCCGGTTACATTCCTGAACGAGTAAGTAGAGATGTATTTTGTCATTATTTATTATGATTTTAATCACTTTTAGGTAACTTTACAATGATCTTCAAACATTATGTCTGCGGTGTGGTGACGGATTAAGAATAGGAAGTGTTACCACCCCTATTCATCCCGTGTGTGTCGTAGGAGCTGACTAAGGGAGCAAACTACGCAGGACAACAGCACTATAAAGAGAAGGAAAACTTGACACAAAACCCTATACCAACCCGTCTGGCCCTGGGCAAATTAGCATAATGGGGCCCCTACGAACTTAGCTGAGCATTATTTTGTTGGAATAGACAAAAAAGTATTGTTGTCAGTCATTACAAATGGATTTTTCGAACTAAAAATGTTTTTTGGTGATAAATATTGATTTTCGATTAGTGATCTGGCAGGAATCGGGCTCCTATCGATCGAGGGGCCCTGGGCACACGTGCCCAGGGCACCTCGATTGTCCCCAGTGGGTGAGTGAGTGGGTGAGTGGTGAGGGGGTGAGTGCCCAAAGGGAACGAGGGGCCTGGGTATAGTAGGCCAAAAACTCCTTTTTAGGGAAAGGCCTATGTCCAGCAGTGAACTATTAAACGCTGTTGATGTCATGATAATGTGGTGATGTGCTTTAAAATGTAAGATTTGAACCTGACAAAGATAGACACAAAAATTACAAGTTAATTTAGAGTTCATATATTTTTTTATTAAAAACTCGAAATTCTAAACATTTACCTTACTGGTAACATAATAATGATACTTATGTTTATTTTTTATATTTATGTGTACTATTATTTATATTTATAATATTATCCACCGTGCTGAGTTCATATAAAAGGTAGACAGGTTCCACTTGCATCATTAAAACCTGCACTATTGCATTCACATCAACATGAAGCTATTTGGAATATTGCTTGCTTTGGTGATGCTGATCAGCGCTTTTGGTTTTGTGGAGCTAGCTTCCTTGGGAGTTAGATGTCCTGATGATTCTTCCACTACCGGCGAACGCTGCATACCTAGTGATGTAAGTTGAAATCTTTCATGTTCTCTTTGAATCTATTATTAATTGGAGATCATCGAATTAATTATTTTAGATGTTTTTAATATAATTTTAATTAATGTTTTAACAGTATGTTCATAGCAATTTACCCAAAAAAAATATTTCCAAGAATAAACACAGTACGCTTCTTTTCAAACAGTTGTTTTTATACAAATGCACAACTATACATAATTAGATAACATTTATTTTTAGTAATATTACAAACAGATTAATTTTCTAGCGTAATCTGTAAAAAAATATCTTTTGATCTATGTTTTAATACATTTGAAGGTAATAAATCCGGGTCGTAATACAAAGTGAAAAATTATTTTTACAACCTTTATTTCCGGAGTTCAAATTGTCTATTAAACACAATGTATATCAATAAACTTGCATTATTAGTTTTTTTTTCTTTTAAAAAGACACACGCTCTTGGAATGTATCCTATGATACGGGAACTTTACAAACTTATATAAAAATGGCAACAAAGAACACCCAGACTCAGAACAACAATTTGTGCATTACACAAAGTATTGTTCCACACAGGGATGGGACCCACAGCACTCAGCGCAGTAGGAATCGGAGAGGTGACCGGTTAAACCACTACACCATCGGTGCAGTCAAATGCTTTTATACAATGAAAGAGTTCATGCAATGTAAAACTAATGTATGAGATTATTTGCATAATATAATACAATAGTAAGTAATATGCTCATTAATAATAAATTTTGACATTTTGTTAATAATAGTTTATTAATTTGTTAATAATAATAAATAGTGTTTGAATATAAATATTTATTTATTTACAAAAGGTACAGTTACAGAATACAGACCAGGTAGTGCTTAAACTTAGTTATAAATATTCATAACATTTTTTAATCTGCACTCCAATTACTACCGTAAGCTTTCGGGATTTATACAGCTTCAGAGTAAGTGGAGGTTACAAAAATAAACAAGCATAATACAAAAAAAAAAATGCTAAAAATAATCTAAGCATGCTGTCAATACTGCGTGTATTGACTGCATGCTTAGATTATTTTTAGCATTTTTTTTTTTCAAGGTCAAGGTGCATCCAATTGCCGCAAAGATTCCATAAATCTGCCGTGACTACCAACGAATATATCAACATCAGAACAAATATCATTATATTGTCTACACATTCGAAACAGTGGACTATTTTGAGACACATTATTGTTGCATGTTGGTATACAAACAAGACAAGACACTACAAGACACTACTGTTAAATCTGGTACCACCTGTGTTCTATGCAGATAAATGTTTCTCTCTTTCTTTCCTTGATTTTTAGGTTTATGTAAATGTACCCGACCTGTGTAAATATTATTTTTGTATAACTGGCAAGAAAAGTTTTACGTTTATAATTTTTTTTATTCTCGTTCTCTTGTTTACATATATAACACAATTTAAATTTAGAAGGGGTTTTAATATTCAATGAATGAATTACATACGTATATCCCTTATGCTGTTTCGGATAGGGTTAAACATAGATAAAAGATTACGTATTATACATACATTGCTTCTCCGGTATCCTTTTTTACGTTATCTCTGACACTTTCAAGCCTAACTCATCTCATAACAGTAATAGGGTAGTTGACTGTATCATAAATAAATAACTATGTCCCCTTCATTAAAACTAATATCACGGGCTTGTTGGTTTAGTGGTTAGTGACCCTTACTGCTAAACCGGAGGTCGTGGTCGTCGTATTGTGTGATGAGAACGGTCATTTGTGTCTGGGTGTAATTTATCAATAATATGTTTCTATTTAAAAATATATAAGTATGTTTATCAGCAGTCTGGTTACCATAGTACAGGCTCTGCCTAGTTTGGGATCAGACGGCCGTGTGTGAGATATATAAAAAAAACATTTACGACAATATTTATACCTATCAAGGCTTTTGAAAACTATTACGAATTTAAATCAAATAAGCACTGAAATATATTACTCAATTGAGGAATCGAGAAATTGTCGTTTTAACAGATGATGAAAAATAAATAATTTGACTAAAGAACCCTTTTTGATAACACAAGCCAACAAAATTTGACAAAGTTTATTTCCAGAAACCAGAGTATACTTCCCGAAGGATTTTTATCACGTCAGGTTTTTGAGATATTCTAACCCAAAAGTGCAACTAACGCCATTTTTGCCCATGTTTGAGGCTATGTAACCCTTCAAATTTTATTATACTTAAAAAGGTACGTATATCTGAAAGTTGAAGTCGTTAACTTCGAATGACGTTGAGTTTGCTCAAGTATCATTCAATTCTGCGGCCGAATTTGGATTTAGCGCACCAAAATCCTACTAAAAAGGATACTCTGGTTTCCGGAAAAAAAAATTGGCTTGTGTAATTTAAGGTATAACTTTTAAAAAGCTTTTCTTTTTACAGAATAAGTAAGAAATGGGACAGAAGTCATCCACATTTACATGATAAGACGCCCTTATTGCTCTTGTTTGTATAACATGTTAGTTTTATATTTAGTATAATCATTTTAAAACATTTTTATTTTTTAAATGCCACGTTCTAAGTGCTTATTATACATTTTTTCCTTTATTTGTTTTCCCATTTAAAATTTCTCTATTTATTTGTAAACACAGTTATTTTTATGTTTAAAATAGATAATAATAATAATAATAATATTGTACCACATTCACACAACGCCATCTAGTCCCAAACTAAGCAGAGTTTGTACTATGGGTACTAGACAACTGATATAAATACATAAATACTTTTTTTTTGTAAATACATACATATTATACATAGAAACACCCAGACCAAATCAAACATTAAATGTTCAGGCACACAAATGTTTGACTTGAGCGGGAATCGAACCCGCGACCTTTGGAATAGCAGTCCGTTACAGAAACCACTACGCCATCCGGTCGTCTAACGATGAAACGTCATTTACAATTATTCATAAATGAATAACTATTAATATTAAAAAGACAAAAAGCATACGATTGGATTTCATTTTATTTCACCTTTTTTTGGAAATGGTTGACTTACCCTATTCTCAATAGGGTAAGAATACAACTTAACTCAGGTGCAGTGTGAGTGAGTGGAGTTAGGTGCATATTGACATATAGCCGTTTCCTGCAGTATTACCCCCTTTTTGGTTACTACTCCAACGATAAATATACTGTTCTGTTTTGGTACTGATAATAATATTGTAAAATTTAGACTCTTCTTCAATAAATTATTCAAATCTGTTGGTTAATATAAAATAATTATAAATATACATTACATATTTAATTAAACTTTTAACTTTACTTACTTCTACAAATATGCTTTAAGTAATTCAAAATTTCAAATTCCTCCGTCCGCGAAATATTCTTACAAAGGGACAAATTTTAATTTAAAAAAATCTAAACAATTTTAATTTCAAGACTTTTTGTGTAATAACTAGCTATAGAAATTTAATTGACTCCAACATGTAACACTTCAATAACTGTAGTTAAGAGAGCACATTTATATAAAAGGGGACGCTCCATTTTATTCTTTGTATTTGCGTTCGAAGTCTGTCGTCGATCGGTAGCCACGTCAATCAATAACAGAGGCAAGATGAAGTTTTATACAATATTGTTTGTAGTAATTGCATTACTCAACGCCAATAGAATCAAAGAGCTTTAGCACGCAGTACCATCTTCGACGAACAGGTAAGTGATTTACAAGAAACCTAATTCAATGAACTGTGTGATCTAATCACCATTTCACTTACTTATGTATATATGTATATAATTATATACCTTACACTTATATCTACGAGTGGTGACGGATTAAGATTACGGAGTGTCACTAGCTCTATTCATCCAGTGAGTTTCGTAAGAGCCGTCCAATCGATATTGTAAATTATATAAAGATAATAATAGTGTTATTAAATTTTTAATTATTTAAATTAAGTTATATTATTAGTCATCATCATTAACGACATAAAATAGTCCACTACGGAACATAGGCTTAGAAAGAGGGTTTTGGCGTACTATACCACGCTGGCCAGACGGGTTGGGATAGGGTTTCTGTCAAGTTTTCGCCGCCCTGAGTGTGGCCGCGGGTGGACGGGGTGGGTTTCCCCTCCACCCGCATTAGTTTGGCCAGCCGCGAGGGGGCAGCGTCCGCGTGTGAAGGACGTCTCCTAAAGAGAGGAACATCAACATTGAGACAGAGCCCGCACCAGGAGCGGGCTGGCGCTAGGAGGGGTCCGGATGTCTTAACAACAGCTGTTCCCGGATCCCTCCTGTTACAGGCGCAGAGTAGCACACCGTGTGGTTTTAGTCGGTCCGAGTCCGACACACCACCCCGCCGCAAACCCCGGAGGGGTGACGGTCCAAGGGGATTTCCACACGTTAAAAAAAAAAAAAAAAAAAATCATCCTGGCAGTCCATGACTCACGTGCATTCTTGTTAAAAGGGGAAATAAATTAGCTTCGTTTCTTTGTTATGCATGCACATGCATCCGATATTTAATTTATAAGTGTCACTTATTTCATTTTACAGGCATCCGAGAAATGTGAAACATTCAAAATAAATAAATACCAGTGACGTATTAGAATTTTTTTTTTTTGGAATAACGTAAGTTATTGTACGTTCGTATACCTACGATTCAAGTTGGACCATGAGGGTGGGTCCATGGAAGAAATTGGTATTGTTTTCTTAAACATTTCTGAGATGTTAAACATTGATAAATTATATTGAAAATAACATGTATTTTAATTTTTGTAACTTTTTAACTCCCTTCCTTTTTTAAATTATCTTGTGTATTCCTTTCCTTTTTTCTCCTAAAGTTATATACACCAGCTATGCATTGAAACCTCTTTTCACTAAAATACGCTGCATTAATGACGTGATCGAAAGACATTATCATTTTTCCGTTTTTTTTCCTTCCTTAGGAATGACGATGAGGGATTGCGTGCAGAAACGCCATTGGGTGTGAAGTAAATAATTATCTCTGGTAGGTATTAGAAAACGCATAGGTTCTGTTTTAAAAATATTAATTCTAAAAGAAATCCGAAAATTCCTTTTGAAAAACTGAAGATGAATTGAATAATATAATGGTGTAGGTATATAACTCATTTATTATTAGACATAACAATAAACAATTAAGTAAAAATAAATTAAAGTGCCATGATAATATGTTCAGTGATTCACTGATAATAATCTTTATATTTATAATTCTTTTGTGTTTTTTTTGTTTATAATTTTTTTTGTGTTTGTTCAAGTTTAAGTGGATTCGAGGATGGTTTAAATTTACAATTCGGTCCACTATAAAATGTTTTCATTTTATTTAAAACGTGTGTAAAAGACAATGTCTATCAGGTCCAATAGTATTATTTAAAACTTTACTAATCATTGACCATTTGTCATCACAGTAAGGTGCGTTTTTTAAACTAATAAATTATGAATGCATAATTATGACTTGCAAACCTATTCACACTTTAGTTAAACTAAATCTTAATTACTTTAAATAAATTTAACATCCCTATATTACAATCTATAACAAATTTGATTATTTCTTAAGTATATTGGCAGTGTTAAAAAAATATAGTATGGCATTGTTCAACTATTTTACTACAAAATTGAAGACTTCGTGTGTACTTTGTAATTAGTCATCACTATTATGATATATTATTTGACCGGGGGACATGGTGGGTCACGATTCTCCAGGTATCTGTAAAAGAAACATAAATGAAAATGAATATCGAGTAAGAACAATATTTGACCAATTGTCACCTATGAATGAGGAGATTATATATTATTGGTTATAAATAAAGATCTTAATAGTATGTATAACGTACTATTAAGAGTGAGTTAGGCCTCTCCTTAGAAAGTAGGTTATGGCCTACTAAACCACACTGGCCATACGGGTTTGTGTCAATTTTTCCTTCAGTTTGCAGTGCTGTTGTCCTCCTTCCTCCCTTAGTTGGTTCTTACAACGGGATGAATAGGGTTGGTGACACTCCGTATACTTAATCCGTCAACACACGGAATATTAAATATTCAATTTATTACTAGCTATGAATATAGATCTTAATAGTACGTTATTGTGAGTTGCCATTTGTGAAGTTGATAATATGGTGGAGCAGAACACAGGGAACACGTAAGAGTAGAAGCAAATTTATCTTAAACTACCGGAATAAGGAACAATAATTAACCGTTTAGAAAGTGATAAGGCGTTTCTAATTTATAGACGTCAAAATAAAATGAACGAACAATCAAACAGTGGCCATATTTTATTCTAGTTAATAATAAAATCACAATTTGCAGGTCTATACCAACCCGTCTGGCCAGCGTGGTATAGTAGGCCAAAACCTCCTTTCTAAGGAGAGAGCTATGTTCAGCAGTGCACTAGTAAAGGCTGATAGTTGATGATGATGATGATGATTGCAGGTCTAAGGTTAAATAGGAACAAAAAGTTTTTAATCTGAATTCAACGGTCAACGTGTTATGGGGAAGAGGACTACTCTAAACAGAACTGTTGATTTTCATCATTTAACAGCAATTTGGCAGAAAGAAAAAAAACTATTTGCGTACATATTACATACATAAAGTATCGTAAACCTGTGCCGGCATTGTTCATTACAGTTCGTTAAGATTACGAATGAAGTTGGACAGCGAGACATGTCAATCTATCTAGTCCCTGGTTCATATGATTAGGTACACATGTGTGTATACACATGTATGTATACAATATTATTGGCTCAATATTTCTCATGCCGATGACAGTTTTGTAAGCTTCGTTAATTGCTGTGTTCTACACAAAAAGGAAGACAGGTCCCAAGTAAATAAACGAGTACATCGTGCAAATTTCCTAATTACTTTATTGAAAAAAAAAATAGCTTATGAAAAATATGGAAGTTTTTCACCAATATTTACAGAATATAAAGAATTTGTTCAAGAAATTAAAATCTCATGAATAAGCACGAACTAGTACTTAGGTATATGTTAGCGCGGACACAACAAATAAACAAATTGACCTTGACATATTAAAGTGCATATTAGTAAGAATTAGTTAGGATGATGTTAGTTAGTTAGTAAGGATGATCACTACATTTAAAAAAAAAACAACCGAATTAAGAACCTCCTCCGAATTGAGAAATCTTTAAAAATGCACGATTATTCAACACTGTCAGGCAATTTTAACCTCCAATCCGATCTATGTTTCTATGTAATAATTAATAACACGTCCAAAAGAACTTACACTTCGCAAGGCACACATCGATTTATAAGCCACGCTTGGTTTCTTGGGCAACCATTGCCATTTATAACTTGTCGTTTTTGTATATTCCCATCGTCAAAATCAACTTCACTAAACACTAGGTCTTCAGGAAACTTTCTAAACGTGTAAAAAACTTTTTCAACTTGTCTTTTAGCTGTAGTAACTTGATCTTTGAAGTCGATAATCGCACAAGTAGCTGCACCTACACAAACACATATTAACACTGCTGTTTGACTCATATCGTTGACCACTTTCTAACTTAAACTTTGGATTGCGACTGAGACACGTATCTTCAACTCATGCATTTTATATACATAATAATATGTAACCACATTTTTACGAGCGACGTTAACAGATACAGCTGCCATTTAAAATATTGATCCTTTAGAGGTTTTACTTCATATCAAGGATCCAGGGACGATGTAGAAAAACAGTTACATATTTTGTTGCGTTGAGCGATAAACGTGTAAGCGATATTTTAATAATGCTCAATGAGTTAATTCTAGTCCTTATTCTTATTTACAATACTGTTCATGACAAAATGTGTTTATGTACATCCAGTTTTTTTTTTCTTTTTCTTTTTCTAAATAATATTTACGTCAAGATATTTAAACAGACACATAAGCAGGCTATCAATAGTTTCCTCAAATCCTTTATCGTGAATTTGGCAATATGAAAATAGATAATGAACCAATTATAACAAATCTCGTCCAACAACAATATCATATAATGTTTAAGTCAAGGCCTTTATGTAAATATGATGAGTTTTTTATGCAGAACACGTGTGTTAAAAACACGGCAATGGAGTTTCCCAATATTACGTAAGTGAAACTAAATAAATAGTTGTCAAATTGCGAGCGTTTAGTACCTTATGTTGCGTCTGCGTATAAATGTTGATTTACCCATAATTGCCACGCATGGCAAGTGGTTGCATTTAGCTACGCCTATTGAAATGGATATACCGCTATCGGTAGGTCGCCAGAGCTTCGTTCGTAGTTCAGCAGAATGCACCGCGTGTATGTGAGGTTTTCTTGAAGCGAAAGATGATACTTCACCACTTTAAATCCTATCCCAACCGACAATCCTTGGGTTAAACGAGTTCTTGAGTGGAGACCGCGTCTCGGTAAACGTAGTATTGGGTACCCACAGGTCAGTTGTTGTGATGATTAGGATGGTTGGCAGCATCTGAATGCGAGATGTTGAAAACGATCTAAGTAGCGTGCAATCGGAGAGGCCTACGTCCAGCAGTGCACGTCTTTCGGTTGAGATGATGATGCCCAGCAGTGGACTGCGATAGGCTGATGATGAGCGTTTAGTACATCTCTGTCTACCAATTAGGAGACTTAGACGTGAGTGTATGTTGTGTATGTATTCACCTAATTCCAAAATAATAATATTTTGGATTATTTTCTTCTATATACATATCTATATTATAAAATACACATTTGATCATAAAGTGATTGGTTGCCAAGCTAGATAAAAACCTTATGATATGAATTAGCAATTCTTGTGATAAAATATCGATGAAAATTCAATTCTGATTTACTTTCGATATCACGAATGTCATAAAAAATATTCTCGTTGTAAAGTTTGAAACATCCAACGTTGACTGTAATTTGATTATATCGTATTGTGACCGAAAGTTGAAAAAAATAAAAATCGGTATTCTGCTAGTCTTAGTAAGTGATACTTTAATGCGAATGAAATGTAATTCGTATTCTTATCTTGTTTACTCTACTTTTCTATGAGATTGAATGTTTATCAACAGTAGACTACCGAATAGTATTTTTATGAACAGAATACCTACTTACAGACTATTCATTATTACGTTCTTTGATATTTTAAGATTACGAGAATGGCCACTTAGGCTTCCATTACAACAACCAAACATACGCTGAGATAGTGCAACATGTACATAATTATAGGGTTCTGTACCATTATCTATAAAAACAGCAAAATAATCACGTTTGAAATATGGGAGCCCCCTTAAATATTTATTTTATTCTGCTTTTAGTATTTGTTATTATAGCGGCAACAGAAATATATCATCTGTGAAAATCAACTATCTAACTATCACGGTTCATGAGATACAGTCTGGTGACAGATCGACAGACAGACGGACGGACGGACGGACGGACGGACAGCGGAGTCTTGGTAATAGGGTCAAGACGGAAGCCTTGTTCCACAGGAAACGCAAAGGTGCAGTTATTAGAGTGGGAGGAATAGAGGACGAGGTCGGCCGGCACATCAAATACCTCCGCCACACTCTGGACAGCCGCTGGAGCTTCGAAGAGCCTTTCGAGTGGATGATCCTCCGAGTTCGCGGGGTGGCGGGCTCCCTACAGACGCTATTGCCTAACCTAGGGAGTCCGCGAGAGGAAGTTCGTCGCGTCTACTATGCGGTGATACGATCCATGGCCCTCTACGGAGCGCCGATATGGGCCAAGCGCCTATCGACCTCCTCCCGCTGGCGAGCTAAGCTCAATCAAGCGCAGCGGGTAGCGGCCATTCGCGTACAATCCGAGGCCGGGTTACCGCACAATTTCATCGGAGGCGGCAACAGTCCTGGGACTCCGCCCAGCATACGCTGGAAGACTGCTCCGCGTTAGCGTCTGAACGAGAACTCCTGGTCGACCAAATGCTCCAGAAAGAGACCGCTGAACAGGATCGGAAGAAGGTAAATCCCGAGCGAAGAAGACGTAGGCGGCGGAATGAGCAGCCGACGGGACCACGGGCCGCCAGAAAGTGGGGCCCTCTGGTGGTGGATTAATTGCTGCGGTAGGGGTTAGGAAGGTATTCTGGTCGCACTAAAAATGTAGATAGGCTGATAGGCAGGGAGAGGCTTTCCCTGATATAGCGCCTAGTTAGGTGCGGCGTCGATCTGAGGGGGACCTTAAATCACCAGGTTCTCCCAGAGCAGGGCGCCTAAGGCTGGGGTGCTTTTTAGTGGAAACACCACATACTTCTGTTTCCTATATCCCATAGGAGCCGGCGTTCCGAAGGGATTTTCCACCGCGTCAACAAAAAAAAGGGGTCCCATTTTACCCTTTGGGTACGGAACCTTTAAAACAATGTATAATTACATTAATTATGTAAGCAAAGATAATACTGACATCTAAAATAAGAGATGAATAAAAAATTATGGAAAAAAGACAATGCCAGTTTAAATTTATGATTCCTGTAAAAACTCCACGGGATCATGGCAATAGTGTCTGAGGTTGTTACTTTTTGAAAAATTTGCTATTGCTTAAGAAGGTTATAATTCCGCTGATCTTCAGTCGCATTGATCCTAGGAAGTAAGATGACTCAATTTGAAATATTGTCATCACGAAATATTACGTTATTGTGCGTCGCGCTTCTATTTTTGCAAGTGTTGATTTTCCTTGCAAAATGTTCAAATCAGAAGAAGAAGTGGAACAGTAGATGAGTAAGGAAAGTTAGAATCAACAGTTCTAACCAATGTACTATGATATCTATTCATCTATCAATTATTTTAAGAACTCGACGTCAATGGTGACACCTAATGGCTTAATAGCTTCTAGGTCCAGCAGTGTAGGGACATTTGGGTACTCGGACTATGACGACAAAACACCCGTAAATACTCCAGTACTGTGCGTTTTTCAATTTATTTGATTTTAGAATTATACCCTCTTTCAAACACTGTATTGTCATTGACGGTGTAAAATGCATTCCCCATAACGAATGTATGAGTTTAAAATATTAGATTTGAAATTCACTCGCTCTAAATAATATTTCTCTAGTAGCTAAAGCAAAAACCTGTAATAATACAAAAAAGCTTATAAATTAAGCACAAACTCTTGTTTTAGATTACCTACTTACACATAATAAATATTGAAATGAAATGAAATGAAATATTGAAACAAAATAATAATTATGAAAGTTGCTAAAATAAAAATGATTTTGATGACTTAACATAATTATATTCAGCACTCTTTCATTTTGATTACAGACCTTTACGCATTCCATAGAGCAGAGCACTCAGGAATTGGTAGCAGAGAAACAGAAGAGTGACTTGCTTTTATCACGCATGCTGCCTGTTCCTGTCCTGCGCCGACTGCGGGCACAGCGCGCTGTTCCAGCAGAAGCGTTCGACGCAGTCACCATATTCTTTAGCGACATCGTCGGCTTCACCACCATATCGGCCAGTAGTACTCCCATGGAGGTGATAAATATGCTCAATATGCTGTACAGGTCCGTTGGCTATATCCACGTTCCTTTACTTTTACATAGAAATACCTAAACATTCTTGGTTCTCTCATAATTTACAGGTTGTAAAGGTAATCATGTAAAGATACCAGAACATATGGTAACTGAAACTAATAACGCTGGCTTAGTAGAATAAATTGTTTTTAATCATCAACAGCCTTTACTAGTTCACTGCTGGACATAGGCCTCTCCTTAGAAAGGAGGTTTTAGCGTACTATACCAGGCTGGCCAGTCGGTTTGGAATAGGGGTTGTGTCAAGTTTTCGTTCTCTCTGAAGTGCTGTTTTCCTGCGTAGTTTGCTCCTTTAGTCGCCTCTTACGATACCCACGGCATGAATAGGGGTGGTGACACTCTGTATTCTTAATCCGTCACCACACGGATGGTTTTTAATAAGAATGAAATAATCTTTATAAAAAAAAAAAAAAAATTAATTAGATATATTCATAGAATATTACAGAAAAAATCAAATCTTACACAAAAAAAGAAAAACATTTAATTTCACCACAATAAAAATGTTCTTAATTTTAGTACTTTATGTTACATTCACGTGCTGTCATTACTGAGGTTAAGCAGTTTGGTACTACCCAAAGTTTCTCATACGATGTTTAGGAGTATTTGCCCATTCCGCTGTGAAAGCAGTTTAGTACACGAAGCGTAATTAAGGTGAGGTTTAGCTGTCTTACATATCGTTCGAGCTCATCCCACCTTGCTGCTGTTAATGTACACCTCTTTAGGTAGTCTATACACAGCCAGATCTGAATGTATTACTCTTCAGTGCAGTTGACAACTCAAGATATTCTTAAAAGTTATTAATAATACCCTTTCTGTTGAGGAAAATGTTCAACATAATGATATCACACAGATTATTTTGATTTGAAAGTTTACGCGAATGGATTATGCGAATGCATAAATTCAAATCTTTAAATGTCATCTATGATGTAATAAAAGATTTCACTCCTCATTAAATTTTAAAGTTGATTCTTTAATCAAATATATGGTATCTTATTCAAGTTTTCTTTTCTTTTTTTCCGTATCTATATCGACCGACCTATGACCTATAGGCTGGAGACACCCGGTGTACTTACTGTTAATGTTTTAAATATGACGAAGTAGGCCAATGGAAAAACATCACATAATCACATCATGTATCTTGTTCCGTAGTGAAATTGGAATAACAATCAAATTCAAATTGAAAGCGTTCACGCAATGACTTAACATTAAATGTTGCCATAAATAAAAAAAATTGGCTCAGATATTTTCTCTTCTACTTCCTTAGTTGTATTTAAATTGTTTAATGTATAAATTAATATTTGAATATTTTCGACAGGTTATTCGATGAAAAGATCACTCACTACGATGTATATAAGGTTGAAACAATCGGAGATGCCTATATGGTGGTTTCAGGATTGCCCCAAAGGAATGGTGAGTTTATACCCCTCATCATCATCATCAACAGCCTTTAATAGTCCACTGCTATACATAGGCCTATCCTTAGAAGGAGGTTTTGACCTGCTACGCCATGCTGGCCAGAGGGGTTAGACTGTACCAACCCGTCTGGCCTACAAAGAAATCTTTTAAATAAACCCTGTGCTTTGTTTCAAGTTCGACCTGATTGCTCAAGTTCGAATATACATAATTATGTAAAACCAATTTACCTTTAAAACGAGTTTAACAATTCTCTTTACTTATTAATATTTAAAAAGATTTTATCTAAAATAATTTTAATAGACACCTACTAAAAATTGGCTCTGTACTGTTGATAAATTGGGCGTCGCAAGCGTATGTTAGCTACTCTTAAATATAGGCCTGCTCCTTTTTTCTTAAGATGACCGACTACTAAAAATAAGAGAGTATTAACATACCTCTACACTGTAATTAAATTCACGCCCACTATTATGATTCACCAACCGCTGCATTGCCAAAAGAACAATGGCAGAAACATATTTACCTAAAACTTAAGCGTTTAAAAAATCGAGTCACAGTAAACTTAATCAATTTTTTTTCTATGATTTATCATTACACCACCATGTGTTGTATAAGTCTTATAAGAGATAAGATATTTTTGAAGATTTTATTTGACCTAAGTACGTAATGTCAGATTCGCCATCACGTATAACTGACTAGGGATGCGTGGTGGCAATATTATATTATGGAACAATTTATCGATAATCGATTCTTATAGCTTTGGCTGAAATATTTTCCGAAGGTTCACTATTATGATTATGAATTTGCTTCTGCCCACATCTTCACTCGTACGGTAGAGTGACTGAATCAACATAATTAGAAATGATTTAAAATATTTTTGACTCTCTTTAAACGATTTCAAACACACTAAAGAAATAGAATATAGTTACGTTATTTTCCACTACACACTGTGATGAGAAAAATACATTGTCTTTGATAACGGCACATAAATAGACATACATCGATATTTTCAAAATGTCGATACGTCGTCGTTTAGTACATATCTCTTAATCTGTGGTTTAGATCCTGTCAAGTGCCGGACTCACCACGTTTGTTATTTTATTTTTGTTTAATTTAGTGTTAAACTCGAATAGATGTTATGCTTTTATTTTATTTTTTTCATATACTGGAATAATAATGAAAATAATATTTTCGGCTATCTGACACACAACGCCATCTAGTTTCAAACAATACATTAACAATATGTTAGTACTTAACCTCGAAACATTCAAAATCCAATATCTTTTTTCCTAGACTTCTTTCGCAAGTAATTTTGATATGAGAATGGTCAAGAATAAATTCTCAAGTGTTAAGGATTTTTTGATATTTAAACGCTAAAATTTCAGTTCAAATAAAATTATGTATGGGGACCTGCCATTGTCCTTTTTTTGTATTAGTAATCAAGTTGAGCTTTACCTTGTAATAAATATTTTATAGGTGGCGGTACTTAATGTCAATACAATGTGATGATCACAAGTAATTAATGTTCATGTGTTTGGTGTTTAATTCAGCGGTCTATGATTATGGATATAAAAAATATTTTATAGTAAAGTATGGTCATATTTTAGGGTTATGGTGGTTCCCATACGAGTAAAATTATTAATGATTAATGCATATATATATATAATTAAGATAGACATACAATTTTTGCTATAGAAATAGATAATATTTAGTAGGAGAAATACCTGATATAAATAAAACTTAACCGATTTGTATACAACGTTATTTAAGTATAACAGTATACATCATTTCAATAGCTATGTAGTAACTTACAATTGGATTATAAAGATGTAGGTACTTATACAGACTTATGAAACTGATACAATTACAAAGTTATAAGCACGATATTTACTTAGAATTTGTATATTTCTGTGAATACTCTGTTTTGTCACTGTCTGTATGATAGGTCTTGGTTTATGTATACTTCTTTTAAGGCTGACTATATTCAAAAGGTAAATTAGAAGAGAAGGCAACTAGGAAACGGTTGGTGCTTATACCGACAGACTTATAATTCGAACAGATTTTCGTCAGAAAATCTAAGCCGTCTAACTCGTGTGCCGTTTAAACCCTTTTAATTTTAAATCTCATCATCATCTGCATACTCTTATCCCAATTTTATTTGGGGTCGGCGCAGTATGCATTTTTCTTTTATCCTCATCATTCGTCATTTCACTGTTCACTCTCTTTCTAGCTATATCCTCTCTCACACAGTCCATCCACCTTTTCTTTGATCCTCCTCTTCTCCTGTACCCTTTAACTCCCACACCTATCACTTTCCTCGACATATTTTCCTCATCATGTATATCATGAACTTATTAGAGTGATTATTTCAGGGAACCAGCACGCGTCAGAAATAGCTGATATGTCCTTATCGCTAATGCGCAGCCTGGAAGGCGCCCACGTGCCACATTGTCCCACAGCGCCGCTCATGATCCGGGCTGGCGTCAATACGGGCCCGTGTGTCGCGGGTGTTGTGGGCGCTACCATGCCTCGTTACTGCCTCTTTGGCGATACCATCAACACTGCCAGCCGCATGGAAAGCACCGGCGAAGGTATTATCCAACGGTGCAGTTTACGGTAGTAGTTTTAGTTTAAAGTATAGAAGCACTAGATTAGAAGATGCCTGTGAAACAAGTTATCGTCTGCGGTATTTCCGGACCGATACGATCTTCAAACCTTTAAGAAAAGAGTGAACTCCTTCCTAAAAAGGAGTTCACTCTTTTCTGTGGCGCCTGAGTTGCAGGCGTTCATGGGCGGCGGTAGTCACTTTCTATCAAGTGACCCGTCTGCTCGTGTGCACCCTCTTCCATAAAAAAATGCTTTGCACTATAAAAATTAATAGTTATAACAAGTACTTTTTAGTAGTAAGGTTTTATATTAGAATACAGAACCTAATCCAAATTGATCTATATTTTATCCAAGTTTTATAAATATTTCACTCAGTAACACAACAAACAGTATCAGTAGTAGTAGTACAGACAAAAGTATAAAATTAGTCTGTCCTGTAGTCCAGTAGTGCTAATTTTGGGGAATGTAGTAATATATTAGCTAAATTGGCCATCAGATTTAAATTTAAACAATTGTAGACCCTATAATAGGGCTTAATCGAACGGTGAGAAGTAGAAGTAATGAAAACGTAGGCAGATACGTTGATTAAGCAGATTGTCCGTTTAGTTGTCCAAGTTAAGCTAAAATTTGAAAGATTATTTGCTTATGTATAACACGTATAATAACATGTACGTGTATATTATGTGCATGTATGTGGACTGCGATGTTGATGATGTATAATATAAAAGGCATGGGATGAATTCTTTAGCTTAAAATTATTTTACATATATTCGGTATCGAACCGGTTGAAAGTATTCAAATATGACTCTTTAAAAGTTTTCCAAGGGATTGTTACTTGGAAAAAATTTAGAGAGTCAACCCAGGCAAGCCAATAACTCCCGTATGATAACAAAAATACTCACTTTTAATGCTTCATTATCTTTTTTGATACCAAATAATAAACAAGTAAAATATATAAATAATTTGTTTTCTTTTGATAGCCATGAAAATTCACATATCAATCACAACAAAGACAGCGCTCGACGAAATTGGAAAATATGAAGTTCAGTCAAGAGGTCTCCAAAATGTAGCGGTAAGTTTTTTTCATCCTACCCACTACACATAAACTTACGCCTCGTTCCCGTCTGGGGTTGGCAGAGATGAGAGATTGCCATTCACATTTATCAGGCCTTTAACCAACGCTTGTTGTTTACGGGTGCTCTTAAAGACGCCCCTCTTCTTTTGCCGATCTGATCATTAAAAAGGATATATCTATACTAATATTGTAAAGCTGAAGAGTTTGTTTGTTTGTTTGTTTGAACGCGCTAATCTCAGGAACTACTGGTCCGGTTTGAAAAATTCTTTCAGTGTTAGATAGCCCATTTATTGAGGAAGGCTATAGGCTATATATCATCACGCTAAGACCAATAGGAGCGGAGCACCAATGATGAATGTTTCAAAAACGGAGAAAATTTATTACTATTGAGAGACGCAGACGAAGTTACGCGGGTCAGCTAGTTCATGTATATATTTATTGGCCTGTTTGTCTAGTGGTTAATGCTCCTCACTGCTTAGCCGGAGGTCGAGGGCGCAATTCCCATCCAGGACAAATAATTATGTGATGAGCACGATCATTTGTTCTGTGTCTCAGTGTAATTTATCTATAAGTTATGTTTGAATTTAGAAATATTAAAGTATGTTTGTTAGCAGTCTGATCACCATAGCACAGGCTCTACCTAGTTGGAATCAGACGACCGTGTGTGTGATGTCTCGGGTTATTATTGTTATTGAGTATAGATTTAATTTCAATATTAAATGTTGTTTTAGGGTAAAGGCTACATGGAAACCTTCTGGCTTCTTGGCAAAGAAGGTGGAGTTAGAGACGAGAGCCCTCGGGGACCACAGCTACACGACTACCAACAAAATCTGATGGAGTTGCTCATTCGATCCTAAAATAATAATTTTTCATAAGAAATTTAAAAATAAAGTACGTTTCTTGTTCTTTTTGGTTTTATTACCCCCCTGGTTTAGAAGGTAAAAAAAAGATACTTAGATTTTTTCCACTTCCTTTTTAAACACACTTTTCTATCTACATTCATGAATGTAAAAACTCGAATCCATACTAATATTATAAATGCGAAAGTGTTTCTGTCTGTTACCTCTTCACAATTAAACCGCTGAACCGATTTAAATTAAATTTGGTATAGAGATAGTTTGAGTCCTGTGAAAGGACATAGGATGGTTTTATCTCAGAAATCATCTTTTAAGGGGGTTGGAAGTACGTATGGGGAATCAATAATCGCTGTACCGATTAAGATGAAATTTGATATGGAGATAGTTTGATTTTTACCACGATAACCGACATAGTAGTACAGGCTAGTAAGGGGATAAATTTAAAAATTAATGGTAGATCGTACGTAAGGATAGCAGAGCCCCCCACTTGCACTTCTTAGTTCTTGAAGGGCACTAGAAGGCCGGCAGCATTCTCATGACTCTTGGTCTACAGCTGTTGTAACTTACTTGTAACCATCATGCAATCTGTTATTTTTTGCTTTCTATAGTGTAAACATACTTGGGGATGTCATCCGAGATTCTGAAATTGAGTCTGATTTTCGCATACTTATGTATTAACATTTTCCATACCGGCACTCGAATTTCATAAAAGAATACGTTCAATTTATACCAAAAATAAATAGCTGTAGTTTTATTTGTTGTAAACAAAACAAAACTTTGTTTCAACGAGCTGTTTTTACATTTCTGATTACGCAACAGATAACTTAGAATTTGAAAGTTTAGTAAAAATTTATATTATTATTTTGATCATCAATCATCATCAACAGCCTTTAGAAAGGAGGCTTTGTCTTATTTTGATACGTCATAAATAATAGGGTTATTTATATTATCATTATTATATCATCTTCATTTTCGCTTTTGTTTTTGTTTTTAAGAGTGCGTCAGCAAAACGTCAAATTATGGAACTTATGGAAGTGATGAACTAAATCCAGGTTTCAATTTTGTACCGGTATGTCTGAACAGCAGCCGTTCTTCTTCCGAATTACTTCTTATTTTAGTTGCCGTATGGCACATTTCACGGTGAAACGGTTAACTGTTTACCGTGGGAGAGCCATGCTTCGGCACGAATGGGCCGACGACTCGAGTGATACCACGACCTCACAAAAAACTGGTGTTAAGCAATTCTTTCATTGCCTTCCACTGAGTGAGTGAGGTTACCGGAGCCCAAATCCCTCCTCCCGCTGACTGGAGCGGGAGGGACTCACTTGTGACTTTTGAGTTGCCGGTGTCCATGGGCAGAGGTAGTTGCTTACCATCAGATGACCCGTCTGCTCGTTTATATCTTGTTCTTGATCGTCCTTATATCATAAAAAAAAAATTGGTATTGAAAACTCTAGTGAGGCAATGGCTAGGATGTTTTTACACACAAAAAACAGTTGCTATGGTCAGTTTTAATCTGTTACAGTATTTAGAAAATGCACTTTTACAAGATAACGGACAAGCAGCTCCGAAGAGAAATACTCCAAAAAGCAGTATTCCCGAAACTAGGCATTAGATATTTAATATTGTATACATATTATCAGGCATCAATATATTTTAGGGAAATGCATTCAGTCGCTTAATGTTTCTTGTTCCATTTCGTTCATTGCCGCTTTTTTTAGGTCTTCGGAAATATTTAGGGTCCCCGGGACAGTTCTTACCAGTTATTTCTTCAAACCTAGAAAATAAAATGATTGAAAATTATTTTATTTATACTAAACTATAATCGAAGTGTCAATCAATAGCTACCAATAGCTATATACCTCTTTTTAAAAATAGAGAAGTTCTCAATTTGGATAATTTTATTACCACAGAAAGCTATTTATTATTAGGTAATACTTTTTTGTTTAATTTGGAAGGAAGAAATATTTCGCGATCCCATTAAAATTTGAAGAAAAACAGCAGTCTTAAATGTGGACAAATAAGACAGAGAATACAATTTATTTTTATGATGATGTATGCGCAATGAAGTATATTGGTTATACTTTTTAAAAGTTATGTAACTAAGTAAACATTCTCAGATGCTAAACATTATTTTATGTATAAGAAATTATCTGATTTTCTTTTAGTATTTTTTTAAATAACTAAATATACTTAATGTTGTATGATCTAACGGATCTACGATCTATTGATTTGTATCATTTGTTCGTGGACCAAATAGGTGACATTTAGAATCCGTTCAGATGACTTCTGATACGTTATGTTTTACGATAGTGTTCTCATGGCGAGTATATTTCATCAGAGGGCCCAGTCACATTAACTCTCTCTTTCGACGTTGCGCTGGCGCTGCGATTTATGCAGATTTCAGTGCTGGCCAATTACACCGCCGAACGTGGTTACCGTGACGAGCGAGGTGATGTAAAGTAAAATTGCACTGGGCCATCAGATGCATGTGAACGATTTGATGAAAATATGTATTCGTGTTTGAAGTCGTGCGTAAAACTCGCCTTATACGAATAACCGCGATCAACCACAACACATACGAAGAACATTTATACAGTATAATTGAGTTCTATAATCGTGGCAAAAATACCCGATTACATACCTACTCGTACATTCCAAATATTGGAATGTACGAGTAGGTATGTAATCGGGTATTTTTGCCACGATTGGAATGTACGAGTAGGTATGTAATCGGGTATATGCATGTTGAGTAACATGCATACATGTTACTCAACATGCATATAGTATGTATTATCCCCCATTTACGTCACAATTCACGCGCGTATTATTACATATTCTGTCCCGGACACCTATACCTATGCACTCAAAAGGTCAAAACATAAAAATGTGAATTTGTATGACATAACAATAAACTGCTATGGTGTTTACTGTGTTATTCACAGGGCTGCAAAAACAAATATTAATCAGAGGTGTAGATTCACAGGTAAGAATTTGCATCGATGAGTTCTCACTCCTCGATGCAAATTCTTACCTGCGAATCTACACCTCCGATCCGTCCAAGGGGACGTTATTTCCCCGAAATTGTTCACAAATGCAATGGAAGACATGTTCAAGACGCTGCACTGGAAAAGGCGTGGCATCAATATCAATGGCGAATACATCCCCCACTTGCAATTTGCAGACGACATCGGCATCATGGCAGAGACGTTGCAGGACCTACAGCAGATGCTGAATGACCTAGCTGACTCTTCTGTATGCATCGGCCTACGGATGAGCTTGGATAAAACCAAGGTTATGTTCAACGAACATGTACTACCGGAACCGATTGCGGGACACGGTGCCGTTCTCGAAGTTGTTCAAAATTATGAGTACCTCGTTCAGACATTGCACTTAGGTAGAAACAACTTCGAGGACGAGGTGAACAGGCAGCGTTTGGGAAGCTACGTCGATCCCACAGTGCCTTTAGACGAAAGTCTGAAATGAGTGCGTCCTACCCGTCACGACATACGGAGCTGAAATGTGGACACTTACGGTACGGCTGGTCCACAACTTCAAAGACGCTCAACGTGCTATGGAAAGGGCCATGCTCGGCGTTTCTCTAAGGGGTCGCATCAGGAATGAGGTGATCTGGCAGAGAACCAAGGTCACCGATATAGCCTACCGGATCAACAAGCTGAAGTGGCAGTGGGCAGTGGACAACCGTTGGGAAAAACGAGTTCTAGAGTGGAGACCGCGTCTCGGCAAACGTAGTGTGTACGCCCACAGGCCAGATGGAGTGACAATTTGCGCAAGATGGCTGGCAGAAGCTAGATGCAAGAAGCACAAAATTGATCTAAGTGGTGTGCAATGGCAAAGGCCTATGTCCAGCAATGGACTACGATAGGCTGATGATGAGGATGATGATGATTTTTTCTTTATAGTTGTGTCAGTCCGATTTACATAGTACAATCTTGTTCTTTTCTTAATTGGAGGTGCTGGACGTAACTGGGTGGCTAACTATCTACTACTCTACTCTGTGATTTAGCTGCTTTTAAAAGTCCGTAAAGCTTATGATGCTTGAGTCGGTGGTGCTTCTTTGTTAAAGAATATTAAACACGTTGGTAATACATTACTTTATTGTATTACAACCTGTTCAGCACAGTTAAGTCTTTGTATAGCTTGTTAGTATAGCAGTGGGTTCAAATCGGTAGTACACTTGGGGTATTTTTATGAAGAGTAGGCCTATTTTTAAAAGAAAAAAGTTCCCAATGCTTTGAGTAATCATGCTGTGCCGGAGTCTCAGCAGTGGGATTACGAGTAGAATTCATGCATGTAATATATGTTTTTTTCTCGGAGCCTTTTTCCCAAACTAGGTTGGAACATCGATTTTTTACGCGGTGCGACTGCCATCAGACTTCCACAACCCAAGTCCTAGGTGATATCGAAGTTCTGTAGAAAGACTGGCGTCAGACCTTTTAGGGCCTAGGCTACAGATATTTGTGTGGCAACCTGTCATATATTTATGTACGTAAATAAAACAAACCTGTCACAAGAAATACACTTTCTTATCAATCTTGCTTGGTAGACTGGGCACAACCCTCTCATCATGATGGCTTGTCTCTTCACTCGAAGGGAACCATGAAGATTTGCTTTGGTAATACTAGGTTTGGCAGAACACAGTGCTGTTAAGACAGTTAAGGTGAATAATAATGTATATACTGCCTTCATCCTGAGGATTTCTAGAGGCTAATTTGGAGTACAAGTTTCAACTGACGCTGTGAGATTGTCGAGTTAATTTATATATAGGCATTCTGTTAAGAATAATTATATTATACTTGATATAATAAACATGTTTGCGTACTGAGGAAAACTCTGGGTTTATGTCCTATATTTAATATACGGAGAATTATGAAAAATAGTTAATTTATCCTTCTTAAACAATGTAAACAGCAGTATTATGTTAAAAAGATGACTGTGGCATAAACTTGAATTAAGGTTTTTTAATAAAAGTTGGCGGGTGAACGCAGTATGAGATGACAGTTTTTAAATATGTCACATAATAAAATATAAAATAAACAAGTTATTCCTGCGGAGGGATGAGGAAAACGTAGCGAAACAAGAGTTACATATGGGAGTTGACGGGTACAAGAGAAGAGGAAGACCAAAGAAAAGGTGGATATACTGTGTGAGTGAGGATCTGATAAGAAAGGCTGTAAACCGTGAAATGAGTAGAAGGGAAATATTATACACACTGCGCCGACCCCAAATGTAACCCTCACCTATTGGTGAAACTTGAGAGGGTTGGTGTGAGGGGAGTGCCTCTGAAATTAATGGCGAGTTATTTAACCGAAAGATGCCAAAGGGTTAAAATAGGAGGTTGGTTGAGTGACGAAATCTACGTTGAATTTGGCGTGCCGCAGGGCAGTATACTTGGCCCTACCTTGTTTCTGGTGTATATTAACGAACTGTGCCAGTTAAAATTCAACAAAGGCAAAATAATTACGTTCGCTGATGATACTGCCTTGTTCTTCGGTGGCGATAGTTGGGAAGAGGTTTTTAACAACGCTCAGTATGGCTTCAACATGGTGAAACAATGGTTGCAACATAACGTATTGACACTTAATATATCAAAGACCAAACATGTAACATATGCTCATAAGACAAATCTCTTACCACAATCATTTGACATTAAAGCCCATGATTGCACGACCTTTAATCATTGCTCATGTCCCAGTCTTCATAGGACTGAGGTGATTAAATATCTGGGTATTATCATTGACCAAACACTAACCTTTAAACCATATATTAGCACCCTAGTTTCAAGGCTGCGAAAGATTATGTATGTCTTTAAGAGCTTAAGATTCACAGCTGATCGTAATATTACCAAAATAGTTTACTACGCGCTTTGTAATTCACTGATTAGCTATTGTATTACCACGTGGGGTGGTGCTGCCAAAACTCATCTTTTGGAAGTTGAAAGGGCACAGCGTGGTATTTTGAAGGTAGGCGCAGGGCTGCCATTTCGATTCCCGACAGCTCAACTCTATAAAGATTGGGATGTATTAACCGTGAGACAGTCATTTATACTCAATATTATACTTAGGCAACATAAACAGACGCCTTACAACCCTAATATTCTCAAGGACAAGCGTAGGAAGGGTAAGGTTTGTACGAATAGGAAATTAAACACGGCACTCTCTCATAACTTCTTCTGCTTTCTCGGACCGTACCTTTATAATAAACTGAACAGCGCTTTACAAATATATCCAAAATCAACATTGAGATGTAAAGAAATAGTTTCTAATTACCTAAAAACCTTAGACTATCAGAATACGGAGGAACTTTTAAAACCTCTGATCTAGTATTTAGTATTTGACTTGGTTGGACAGGTGGTTGGGATGTAGATGAGTAATCGGAAGTAATCAGTAATCACTCATACATACACATGCTCCCACACATATTTACACAGGCATATAAACTCACTTGCAGATACACATATTATTCTATTAACACTTCACCTCATACATAACTTTACATTCTATTTTTACGAGATTTTTGTATTTTAGCCTTAGCTGATATTGCCTTTATATTCTCACTGGTTGTTTAATACTTATACACATTGTAGTATGGATACTGAAGCGGGGGGCCCCTGGTGACCTGTAATACAGATTTACGGGTACTGTAATGTATACTTGTTCTATTTCCAAGATATTGTAACTTAACTAATTGTGAAGAGAAATAAATAAAAAATAAAAAAATAAATAAATAAATAATTAGGATAACGATAGGCAGACTTAGACTGCCTGACTTTTTCACTCACGCTTTAAAAAGCAGCTACAGAATTGCTTAAGACCGATCAAAGCATGGCTCTGCCATTGCTGCATGAAACAAAACACGAACGAAGAACACAGCTGTAACTAAAAACGTAGGTGAAGCTGAAAAAAGGGGTGGAAGTTTGTATGTGGAATCGATAACTACTGAATCGACTCAGAAGAAAATTGGTATTGACATAGTTCTCAAACGATAAAGCAAGAGCAAGAGCTTAATATCAGTAAATATCTCGAATTAATTATATATCTGAAATATATTACGTCATCGAGTTCATTCCCATAGATATACATGATTCCTGAAATACGCAAGTGTAGGAAACCATTCGTCTTTAATAAATAGTAATAATATAGGTAAGTAGTAATAATAATAGTTTAATAAATTAGTAGTTTTGTTTTCTGTTTGTAAATAATTTTAGAGTTATCAGTAAAATATTTTAAGTTTGACCTTCAGGCAACCACTAATTTGTATTATTAGGAATTTATTTTAACCACAATCCAAGGCTTCCTTCTAAGAATCTACGTTTCAATAATAAAGCAGTAACTAAGTTTATTATTACAAATCAATAAATGTTGGTTAGTAAATATTTACCTTCCAGTTTGCTTTTAAGTTTCTAGAGATATCTATCTGTTACCTTTAGAACAAAACAACAATAAAAATAAGTTTCAAAACTGAAAAGTAAGTAAACAAGAAATTATTGTGTCTACAAACTATTCAATCCGCTCCGTGCTTAAGTTTCCGTATTAAGACTCAAGAATGGTTCTTTATGCGTGGTATGGTTTAGGTGAGCCAATCAAGCTCCTTCCAGGAGCGTCTTGGGGCTATTAGAAGCCAGGACAGGATGAAGCTATCATGTATCAGGTATGATACTAGCCCGTTGAGTGGCCACGCCCTCGAATCACAGGATTACATGGGCGGCCGTTCCTTCTGCTATCAGATATCCTCTGAAAAGAGTAGGTACTGTACGTCGCATTAATGACGAATAGTTGTCGGTTCAGGACTAGGTGTCCCGTCTCTACAACTATTCGACTGTCTAGTCTGCTTAACTGATTTATCTGCAAGTATTGGTGTGATTTCAAATTAGAGTGTTCAGTTTTGTGGACTACGACATAGTCCACAAAATCAACCGCATAAACATACATATTATCTTTTTATGAGCCTTTTGCCAGAACTAGGTTGGGTCGGCTTTAAGTCTACTCCGATACAGCTGAACTTCGTTTTTTTAAGAGGCTGCCATCATCAATAGCCTTTAATAGTCCACTACTGGACATACGCCTCTCCTTAGATAGCAGGTTTTGGCCTACTATACCATGCTGGCCAGACGGGTTGGTATAGGGTTTGTGTCAAATTTTCCTTCTTTTCGCAGTGCTGGTGTCCTGCGTTGTTTTGCGCCCTTAGTCGGCTCTTACGACACCCACGGGATGAATTGGGGTAGTGACATTCCGTATTCTTAATCCGTCATTACACGGAACTGCCATCAGACTTCCACAAACCAAGTACTGGGCGAACTCGAAGTTCTGTAGAAAGACTGTTGTTGAAGTTTTTAGGGCTCCAACTACCCGTAACGATTGCCACAAGGGTTCGTATGGCAACCAGGACGTGCTCTTCAAGGCACGGGTCTCTCCAAGGGTATCAATTTGTTAAGAATGTTCACTCATCCATAGACTGACCTGCCTAGGATTGCTTAACTTTTTAATGTAATACGCTACTCTACGCTCTGTTACCACTTAGCCATGAGCCCACTTAAACATACATAGTATATGCGTTTTCATTTAAAACGTAGTATTGTGATAGTTCTTGTCTTCTTGACCTTCTCGCAATACTTTTGGGGTCGGCGCCAAAGGAGCACTACCACGTTCGCCCCCCGTAATGAAAGAATTGGATAACACCATTTTTCTGTGAGGCCATGGTTTCATTCCGGTTAAACCGGCCCATTTGTGCCGAAGTATGGCTCTTCTGCGGTATCATGATGTTTACGTGTTCATCGGATCCTAGCTTAGGTACATTTAAACATGTATATATATCTACCTATATTACTAATTAATAATAAGTAATTATTTACCGGGTTATTCTGCGGATAATTGTATTAAAACTATTCAATTTGTTAATGTCATTAAATTATATGAATCACAGTAAATTATTTTGCAAAACAATTGTAACTCTAAGTACAAAAACAATGTTATGTCATTTTGAGACTGTTAAATTACCTAAAAATAACCAATTAATTTCAGCCCAAATTAACACACCGTTTTAAAATAACTCATATGTGTAATATCACTATAACTACGTACTATGTTTTTTTATGGTATAGTGGGTACGAGCAGTCAGATCATCTGATGATGACTACAGCCGTCTATGGACGCACTACACGAGAATCAGGGGGAAGGAGGGGGTTGAGCTTTGGTAATCTCACTCACTCCGTGTGGTGACAGATTAAGACTACAGAGTGTCACCACCCTTTTTATTCCGCAGTCCCAACTTTCCTGACTAATTCTTAAAGTATCCATTACATCATCACTTCAACAAACTTTAATAGTTCAATGCTGGACATAGGCCTTTCATTAGAAAGAATGTTTTGGCCTACTATACGTTTACTATACTACGTAAGTTTTCAGATCTTATTCTTATTCAATTTCCAAGCAATAATATTTATATGTCAACATAAGAGGTTTGTGGTATCTTCATGTCTTATTAAATACGACCTTCAAACCTGCAAGAAAAGAGTGTACCCTCTTCTTATCGGCTCGAAAGGCAGTTGTGACTATCGAATGACTACAAAAGGCCAATTCTCGTAATAAAAGTTAGGCTAAAATTCAGTTCCGGTCAACTCTCCATGTCACAACTGTCATAAAAGATATTGTAATATTTGGCGTGTATATCGGTTACTGCGTTAAAAAGTAGCCTATGTTACTCGATGATAAGGTGGCTTTCCATTGGTAAAATAATTTTTAATATCGGTATTGTGGTTTAGGCGTAAAAACGTTACAAACAAACAAAAAGCAAACTCACTTTCATATTTATAATATATTTAAATAGAATTATATAATTTTATTATATTTTATATATTTGTAGAATTATATTTTAAGTAAATTAGGGAAATACTTGTATTATGTTCGTAAATTTGTAAGAAGTAATCCTTCTAATTGCTAAAAACATATTGGCATATTACGTAAATTGTTATGTTTTCCTGCTTCAATTTCCTTTAATAAGACTCAACACTTATGGATTCGAAAATTATTGGTTTCGATCAAAATTGTGTTTATTTTATTCTTTATGTCCTGTTTGGTATTTAAAATACATACCTTTTAATTTATCCTATTTATTAAATACCAGCGGACCCTCGCGCTTTATCTGTTACTCTCAAAAGGAAACAAAATCCCCGTTCCCGCAACATTTTTCAGTGGTGCTTGGCTCTTATTATTCGTAAGATGATGTTATATTGTTTATATTCTTCCTTGATAAAAAGGCTATCCAACACTATGAGAATTTTTCTATTCAAACCATTAGTTTATTCCTTTTCTTAAAAGTTTCAGTCTACATGAATGGACTTGAGGTTAATACAGTTTACGATTATGTAAAAAATCCTAAGTGATAATAAATCATTTAAAAAAAAAAGTTGAACCGACTTCAAACAATACTAACAAGAACACTAGCTTAGTTACTAGTTTTTTTTTAAGAGTTTCGTTGCTTGTCTCGAAAACTTATTATCAGATCTATAATAAACTTCAAATAACAAAAAAATAATTAAAATCCGTCTATATGCCGTCGGACATATAGATGGATACATAAAAAAAACATTCGAATTGATAATTTTTGAAGTTGGTTAAAAAAATTAAACCTTAATGCTATAAACATTAATCCCTTTAATGTCAAATCATTATTAGAGGATATTTTCCAAACTGAGCTAACGTGTCTGTTGATCTAGCAGCATGACTGCTAAGCCATAGGCCGTGGGTTCGATGCCCAACCAGGACAAATAATTGTGAGATGAGCACGATCAATTTGTTCTGTGTCTGGGTGTAATTTATTTATATTATGTACATATTTAGAAATATATAAGTATACTTCTCAGCGATCTTGTTACCATAGTTCAGGTTCCGCCTAGTTTGTGCATCAGACGGGCGTGTATGAAATTTGTGAGGTAAGGTTACTCTTCTTATCATCAATATTTTATTATATTAAAATAGGACACTATTTTATTTTATTTTGAATTATTTTACACGGTTAAGGGTTTTGGCTGGTTTTACAAACTTTTAAAGGATGTCATTATTTTGTACGGGACAAAGGAAAACCTGACACACACCCTATACCAACTCGTCTGGCCAGTGTGGTATAGTAGGCTAAACCTCCTTTCTGAGGAGAGGCCCATGTCCAGCAGTGGACTGTTAAAGGCTGTTGATGTGAAAGGAAATTAAAAAAATATATATATTTTTAGGTGGTGAGTCACAGAAGTTTCCCTTGACATTAACCGCCTGTCTTATTCTTCTGTAACGAAGTAAAAAACCTGGCAAATAATATTGATAAAACGATATAGCGTAACTTTATTCAAATTGTTTTTAAAACCGGACTGGTCCAACCTCTACTTCTACCAGTCCTCAATTATGGCAATGTCTGTCTTACGGAAAATCAATTCAATAAAATTAAGCATGTACAAAAAAAAAATCTACAAAAAAACTTATATTCCTACACACTACACATCTATTTTTCGAATTTCGTATTAAACTCATGTTGTTCATACGGCATCAGCAGTTTATAGAGTTTTTACGAAATATCCATACTCTAGCCTTTTTAATATTTTGTTCAGTTCCTCTACGACCTCTAATTCGAATAAGTTTCCGATTTGAAACCAGCACCCGAAAACCAAATCTTTTACGTTTTGTACAGCAGTTTTGTAATGTAATCTATTCATCAGGAAAAACTATAAAATAAAAGACCATCAAACGGTTTGTATCATAATCAATATATTTTTTTAAATTATATACTAGAGTGTACCACAAAGAATATAATATTATATTGTACTGTATTGTAATACATACATTAGTTTAGCTATAGTTGTCGAGGCGATTAGTTTTGTGTAAAAGGTACTATGCATGAAGTATTAAACATAAGAGTATTCTAAGAGCTTTATTTCTTTAATTTGTGTACATTATTGGGTCACGTTTTAAAATAAGTATTGTGTGGTAATTCTCGATGTTGAATTACACAGAACCATAGTTTTTCCTTGGGTAAACTCTAATACCGAGCACAAAAACTCTTCCAGACGCGATCACGGCCGTTATAGTCTTCGTAGCTGAAATATAAAAAAATGAATTAAGATTTAGACAGTAAGATCAGCTAGGAATATATTGATATTTTAAACATTGCTTATAAGGGCAAGTTAAATGTGAGGATAATGTCACAAATCATTTTAAAATGCTAATAGTGGCGCAAACTTACTACTACTCACTAAATCTACTAAATCTAATCCTACTTGTTCACGAGCATGACGCAGGAGCCAGCCATCGTCAAGGCAAACTCAGAGCATTCTCAAACCTATCCTTCTTAATATACTTATACATAACATACATAAGCTAGCCGAATCACAATAATACTTCAACAGGACAATTTAGTAAAATACGTATAGCCTAATTTATTGCCATTACAGTAGGAAAATTCTTTCCCAAGAAGTGGCTCCAATTTCTGTCCTGTTTACTGTGTTATTTTCAATAATAAAATGTTAGGTACTTACTTTTCACACGGTATGCAGTACTTTTCTGCATCTACAATCATGCGCACGTACTTAACTGGACAATATGGGTCTTTGATCCGAATTGTTCTTTTGACTTTGAGGTCAGCCTTACTATTAGGAAGGTACGATGCAAGAACAAACATAACGAAAATAGTAAATAATAATGATTTCATTTTGATGTTTTTACTTGACGCTAGCTTACGACAGAATGCGTGATTTAGTTAACTCTTTCCCTTTATAACTTCAGTACAGGATACTAAGACATTTGATTCATTTTAAAGTAGTTGTTTTTAAAATGGAGAAGTCAGCTTAAACACGTAACAGTGACTCAAAATGAGCGAATCTTTCTAGAACAGTTAGAATTTATTGACGTACTGTTCTACACATATAGAACCTGAAGTGAGTGTTAATCATTTTGCTTGATTCATATGTGCTTTCGGGGATGGTCAAATAGTCTCAACGGTTTCCAGCCTTATTGGAATTATAATATTATGATATTTAAGGAATCCCCGAAATTCACATGGGAGGCATCTTTCATATTTTATGAATAATAACATTAAGCAGCTTTTGCCGCAGAATAATTTTACTGCTGGTAGGTAAAAACTAAATACAATTTTTAAGCCTTTTACAGTTAAAACGTTGTTAGTACAAGTTTTTCAGCTAATTATTACTAAATTATTTATTCGTTAAGAATAAACTGGTTGCTTGATTTAACAGTGAGAAACGGACAGACGGATAAAAGGATTACTATAATTCAGTTGATCCTATGTCACTATCCTAAAAGATAAATGGTACACCTCCTAAATTCAAGCATTAACAGTGTACAAACAAAAAGAATATGTATTTATATCTATATTTACTTCTATATATATGTGTAATTATATTTGTATTACATTATAAATTATATGTATAATATTTGTAGATTTTGCTTAGTTTTAGATAAAAAATATATTTATAATCATTGATTACAATCGTAACCTCGGTGCACCTACCATCCCAAAAAGTTGTCAATTTAATGTGATATACAATCAAATATTTAGTAAAGGAAATCATTTAAAACTTTATAGTTTTAGTCACTTTTTTACGTTATGTGATGATGGTAAGTCATTACCGCTGCATAGGAACACTTGTCATTCAAGAGTTAGTCGCTCAGTTAGTCAAGTGCGTTGCCACCCTTTCAGTCCCTCCCTCCAGATACGATAACTTCAGTCACTCAGTGATAAGCAACGACAGAGCTGCTTAACATTTGTTTTCTGTCAGACCGTAGTATCACTCCGGTCGAGGCCGGCCGATATGTCCAAAAGCATGGCTTTTCCACGGCTTTATTCTCGTCCTCCATATTGATATACAATGGGAGAGGCCTATGTCCAGTAGAGGACAGCGATAGGCTGATGATATTGATATGTATATATTTTACTTTATAAAGCAACGAGAGCATTTGGGAAACAAAACATTGTATCGTTTAAAGACTGTCACCAGCAAGTTTTATAAAAAAAAAACAGATTAAAAAACTATTTTATTTTTATAAACTTCGAAACTGATGATCGGCTGCTTAGATCGGCTGGTTCGATTCCCATCAGGACAAAAATTAGGTCCTCACATATAAAATTAGCGTTTTGTCGTACTGACCACTTTCATCTGAAATATCTCCCCTTTGGTTAATAATTCCAAATCCAAATTTCAAAATTAATTTAGCTGGTACATTTGCGTTGTGAAAACAGTAATTCATTTGTTTTTTCCTCATTATTATTTTCTTTGGCGTCACTTATTACTCGAATGATTAATGATGTGTACGGTGCTGGTGTCGCAAAAGAAAGCACGGTACGTTTTTGGTTTCAAAGTTTTCGTTCTGGAAATTTCGACCTTCAGAACCAACCCCGTGGCCGGCCGGAGACCAAAGTGGAAAATTAAGAATTAAAGGCTATTGTGGAAGCGGATCCATCACAAAGCACTTCAGACATAGCTGCAGGCTTCATTGACTCAGAAAAAGTTACTTGTAATAATAATATTCTACCACATACACACAACGCCATCTAGTCCCAAACTAAGAAGAGCTTGTACTATGGGTACTAGAAACACCCAGACCAAATCAAACATCAAATGTTCATGCACACAAATGTTTGACTTGAGCGGGAATCGAACCCGCGACCTTTGGAATAGCAGTCCGTTACACAAACCACTACGCCATCCAGTCGTCAACTTCGTCGTCACTTCGTTCCTATCGGGTGTCCCACGACACCACACGGCTTTTTTTTTCTGTGTCTGGGTTGTAATTTATCTATAATATGTATGTATTTAGAAATATATAAGTATTTTTGTTCGCAGACTGGTTAACATAGTACAGACTCTGCCTAGTTAGGGATCGGCCTGTCGTGTGTGGGGGTGTATGAAGTTATTATTATTAACTTAGTGTTGTCAGAAGTAGTACTTAGACTGTCCTACTATACAGTCGTATGTTGAGTAGTTTCTATGTTGGGTATTAATAGCTGTTTTAAGATCATATAAAATTCTACTCTCGAGAGGATAGAGAATCACAAAATAAAACACATAACTTACTAAGCGTCTTTTATTTAAGAATATCTACATTTTTTTGTATTAGGTGTTGTGACAGTGAGGTTATACGACGTTTCAATAACTGCAATATTTAATCCAAATGCTGTCACGTTCAATGTAATCCTGGTATCTGTAAATTTGTAATTGAAGAGGTTAGTTTTTTGGTCCAGGTCTTTATTGGTAAGTGATTCCAGCAACTCATAGATGTTATATATCCTTTGAATTTAAAGCACGCAAGAAAATCGCACGCGACACGCATAGCGAATATATTAGGTACCTAGGTAATTTATTTTGATTCGTAGGAACAGTTTTTTAAGAATTCTATAGTCAAGAGCTAAAACATCTGTTCACCTAAAGCGCCTTAAATATGTTGTTGGACTAATATTGTAAAAAATAGTTATACTATCTTAGAGGAAAAACACCTATGCAAGACAGATTCCGATTTTCAGTACCTACATTTCAATGTTCCATTAATGTATAGTCGGAGTTCGGATGTAGGTACACACGATAAGAAAAACCCCAGAACCCTTACAGACTTGACTGCCTGTTGAACCTCAGAAACCCTGTTGTGGTGTGCAAAGATCTTGCCCTCTGTTAGTCAGAGAGTATTAATCAGGATATGGCATCGTCATCTTGGGTCTGCTTTTGATAGGACGCCTGATAACCGGTCAGACACAATGCGGTGATAACGAATATGCGATAATGCGAACCATGCGTGTCTATGCAGTACATACTAAATCAATATGAATTGAATTTTAATAAGTATACTTATATGAGAAATTTAAACTACATAAAAATGTTATTTGTATATGATAAAATGTACAGGTTTAGTATATGACAGGTTTGTATGTGTGTATATATTTTGTGATTTATTATAATAATTTATAATACATACAAGTACATCTAAAAATCGTCTCAAATTAACTGGAACCATAATGCACCTTCTTTCTGTTTTCTCTGCATCAACCAAAGGTAAGGTAAAGTTAAGTCCGTCAATGCACCAAATGTGCATGATGTGTAAATAAATAAATGTCAAAAATAAGTAACAAACAAAATATTAATAATAACAAAATAAACACAGTGAAATAGAATCGTTTGGTTAGGTAAACTATAATTATATTTATCACTTTTTTATATCTACATATATATAAAAATATTAAGTTGGTTTGTGAAAAACTCAAAAGTTTTGCACCACATCAATCATCATCACATCAACAGCCTGTAATAGTCCACTGCTGGACATAGGCCTCTCGTTAGAAAGGAGGTTTTGGCCTACTATACCACGCTGGCCAGACGGGTTGGTATAGGGTTTGGGGTGCTAGCTAGAAAACCTCCCCGTGGTGCACCCTGGAAACGCTGGCGATGGTACTGTTTCCTCCTTGTCCTCTTGGAGGAGAGGATTATCGCCAGCGGCTAATATTCTAGCAGAAGAGGTAGCCGTTCATCGGCTCTCGGGCAAGGCCAGGTCCAGCAGGGTGGGCGTGTCTGCCGGTTGCCCTGCTGGCTCTTCGCTCTTCGGAGCATGGAGGAGGAAACCTCGGTAAAAAACCGGATGGTGGGGCCCTGTAGGGGCCACAGTTTCTCCGCTGACAGCGGTGGAGAAAGGAGGACGGGCTCGGCGTGTACTGACACTACCACCGAGCAGGCAGGGGGACGTAGTCTCCCTGTCAACCGTCGGCATATCGTAATCCCGAGAAGAGCGCTGTGGTTAAGTCTCGCGGCTCTGATCGGGGGCGAGGGTCTTGGCTTAACCGCCCGGACCGCGAGGAAGATAACCTCTCTAAAAAATTCCCCGAATCCCGTGTTCTGGTGCGTGGCCAGGGGATGCATGGCTGATGGGAAGTTCAGTCTCGAGCGCACTCCAAGCCGAGGTACCTGCGGACCCCTCGGTTGGGTTAAAAACTTACGCTTGCCCGGGTAATGGGGGATCTCTGCCCGGGTGGACCTTTAGTTCTCCCCCACTCGTGGGATTTATAATGGATAAAATTCAAAACTCAAACCAAAAGAAAACGATCGGAAATAACCAACAACAGAAGGCAAGTCTAACGGAAACGAAAAAAACGAAGGGAAGGAAGGAGAAGCAGAACAGTGGAGTCGATGGGTCGTCCACTGAGGGTGAGGTGGCGTCGGGAACGCCTATCTCGATGGGGCTCCCAGAGGTCAGTCTGACTCTGGTCTCTGGGAGCCGAAGTGCATCGGACCGTATTCGTTCCGGATCCGCCGTTTCATCGGATGGCGCGGAGGCCATGGAGGCGGAACGAAGCGACAGCCGGAAACGCGGACGCTCCAGGGAAGAGGAGACCGACACGTCCGGCGAAATGATGCCACCCAAAGTGGCAAGCAGCCGCCGAGGGAGGGCACGCAAACCGGCCTCGGTCGCGATCCCGTCAGGCTCCGCGTTCTCAAACGCGGAGTCCTACACAAGTGTACGGGTGGACGGCGAGGCCGTAGCGGAGGAGGAGATCGCGGATCTCCTGCTCAAGGTTCGGGAGCCGGTGGGGGGAAATGCCCCCCAGGCTCCCGTGTCCGTGCAGGAGAGGGTGAAAGCGGCGGTGGCCGTCATTCACAAGGTGGCCACCAAGTCCGTGAA